GGGGGGGGGGGGGGGGGGGGGGGGGGGGGGGGGGGGGGGGGGGGGGGGGGGGGGGGGGGGGGGGGGGGGGGGGGGGGGGGGGGGGGGGGGGGGCTCAACGTTTCCTGTTCTGCCAATCGCCCCCCTTGCGGAGGCGGCAACGCCCGATCCTTCCCGCTTGAGTTTCTGGCATCCGTTTGGCGGAATTATTACTCACGAAATCAGGAGGCGAGTGATAAAAGTGAAGGCGGCGAATGGTTTTTTTTTTGATGGATTTTTTTTTTTTTTTTTTGGAAGATTAGGTAATTGTTGGAGAGGTGGGGGGAATTGTTTTTTTCTTCATCTCAGTGTCCATAAAACGACGTTTTACGGTGTGAAGAAACATTATGTTCATCACTTAGCCAACGACAGGTTTACTGACTCGTCAGAAATTTTTTTTCGGCCTTGCGACGAAAATAGATATTTTGTGAAAGGTTTTGGGGGCCGTGGGGGAATCGCAGCAGTTTTTAGATTTTTTTTTCTCACATGAACACCGCGTAATTGAAGAATTTATGAAAATTTGTATTCCTATTCTCAACTAAACGCATTGACGATTATTTTTCTCAAAATCTTCTGAAAACTTGACTCGCAGAAAATCTCTAAATCTCCAAAGAGAAAATGAAAAATAAACTTGTTCGGTTTTCATATTTTTCACTCTTCGTAAATCTCTAAATATCTCGTGAACCAGTAGATGTGGAGCAAAAGTCTCTGGATCTTTTTTGTAGCTGACAAAATTCCCCACAAAAAATGTCTTACAACATTTTCCCCTAAAACCGCTTCGTACCCCCGAAAATCCCCAATTAACCATTCAATGTTATCACCCGACAAAATCAGTCTCCAACATTCCCTTCTCCAGTAAATTCCCGTTAATTCTCGCCAAAATTTCATCCCCAAAAATAAACCACAATGATAAAACCATCTTCGACATCACCATACGCACAACAGCCCCCCCTCCCCCTCCCTCTCAAAATTCAATCAACAAAATACAAAAAGTCGAAATGAAAATGTCCAGTAAATAGGCCGATGGACATGGGGCCGATAAAAAATGCATATGGGAAAACCGGACACCCTGAAACCATGAAACATTAATGTGAAAACCAGTGGACGTCAGTACGTCAACCTGTCAGAAAAATATAACACGTGTTTTCATTCTACGATTATTTCTCACCCTCGAACTGAAATTCACCCAATCAATGTTTATTCTCATCCACCCTCCCTCCCCTCTCCCC